GCATTCCTCTTCGCAAAGGATGTTGTGCTCGCGATATCGTGCGTCACCAAACAGGTAGTGAAATATGCCTCTAATGCTCATGCTGCGTAGGGAGTGAAGCCGTTTTCGTCCTGCATCCTGCAAAACAAGTAATCAGTCTAAAATTGTTTGCACCTTGGGAAAATTGTGTCAATTTTGACAGTTGGTGGGTAGGAATAGTTCAAAAACAGCGGCCTGCAATTTTCCACAATACTTCATACTCCACTGGTTATCATGTAGGGAATGCGAAAGCCTCAGATACATGTCAGTCTCTTTTCCATTTCTTTGCCTGCTACGAATACGCCCTTAGCCATGACTTCGCGATGGTGGCCAACAACGTTTACAATACGTTTGAAGGAACGAATAAAATTTGCAATCTCAAGTCGGCAAGTTTCGCGTTGACATTTATGGCACTGGTTGGCATCTGAACTCTCTAGAACTCGAATAAAATCTAATAAGAGGAAATTGAGGAAAAGTGGGTTTCATAAAAATGAGTGGAAGAGTAAGAAGGAACCACAGGAGCAAGGACAATTCGATTTCAGGAATAAATTTTTTGTTTTTGAGCACGGCTTTCATCCGTGGAGCGGTTTCACACATCCCATTAGTGCCTTCGGAACGAGTCTTTTCCATCACATGTACGTTGTGCGTGCTTACTAAAGCGAGGGATTACGGTACAATTTGGGTTGAGTTTATAGTGGAAGTGTAGGGATGCTGAATAATGCCCAGTGGCGAAAAAAGCAAAGAAATCCGTCAAGAAGGCGCAAAATGGGACCCCTTTCTTTGCCCGTTGACCTCCGATAATGGACGAGCTAGCAACCAACCAAGGGGTCGTTTGCACATGTTAAACTGATAGCCACCATCATTTCAGCAAAGATCATGCTTTGATTGATACGCATTCCATGAAAAGTTATAGGATACGCTCTCGGAAGTGGAATACCTCATCAAATGATAATCGAACAATCATATTGCTGGCACCAGGGTCAACCCTACGTTGCTACAAGTAACAACGGGGGGGGTCGTAGTTTGTTGAAGTTTGTGGTGGGGGGTCGTAGTTTGTTGAAGTTTGTGGTGGGGGTCGTACTTGTTTCGGTAGCACGAAATTACATGTGATGAGGTGAGAGCGCGCGGGAGAAAATTTGCCGTTTCAGCGTGCGTATATATACCCCCTCTAGAAAATGGAGTAGAGGGAAATATGGGTTAAAATGAAGGAAAATTTCACGCTTCCAGTTGTAGCCCCCCCCGCTTAACTGTGAAGAGGGGATCGTATGAAACTTCTCGTGAAG